TAAGGTCAAGACAAAAAAAAAAAGGGAGCCAGTTGATGGACTGATGTCTGATGGCCATGATATCCCACAAAAGAAGTTTGTTTTAATGTAAAAATGATGGGCAATTAGTGCTATGTACCAAAAACATGAATAAATCCTTTGAGAAATGGTGTTGTTTTATATTGTGTATTTGGAAGTATTTTGCTTTTCTTTCTCCAGATGATTAAAAGTTTAAGAATATAAACTACAAAATAAAAGTCTATGATCAGAAAGGGATTATTTATTTTGTTTAAAGGTTTGTCAAACAAACTGTTGGGAAACTAAGTGAAATAAGCCTAGACTCAGCAGAACAGTTATACAGTTACAGAACAAAGCAGAATTAATCTCCAATTTATATAGATCTCACATGGACATTCAGTAAAAACAAATAGCAAGTTTGCTGGACTGTTGGCAGGTTTATCCTTCTCAACAGGAAACAGCACCTGTTAACTAGGTCGTATAATACCTAACCCTCATCAGTTATTTTCTGAATGAGGCATGAGTTTAGCCTCTGGCCAATATGCAACAGAGGAATCTGTTCCTCTGGGAAGGTGTGCTCTGATTTCCCTAAGAAATAACTTAGAAGGTTTGCTAACCTATGTTTCTATGTTGGGGATTGTCTTTCCTGTTTTCTTTGTATGTTTGGTAATATATACACATCTTTTTAGTCATACATACATGTGTATTATTTTATTTGTTCATTCATTCATTTATTCACCAAACATTTGCTGAAAACTCACTATATACAGGGCATTATATATATCTAACAATTATGGTATGAGCAACTCAATCATCTGTATTGATAAGCATAATCAATACAGAAATCATGCACAAGTTTTTGGATATATCAGAATTTTTCTTCACTTTTATTGGGCTATGATTAGTATGCTCTAATCATACTCTGTAATTAATTTAATAAACACATGGCATATAATTTCTAAAAAGAAATATCTCAACCTCATTAAACTAATAGGTTGATCTGAAGAGCTTATTCTGTGTTAGGTATTGTGGTAGGCACTGGAGATATAAAAATAAATTAAGACTTATTTGCCCTTAAAGGGCTCCCAGTCTGGATGGAGGGTATAGAGCAAGATAAACACATATATTAACTCTAATNCTTTGCTCTCCTTCGGGCTCCTATAGACTTCTGTACACTCCTCCAATACATCACTTTCACACTGCATCCTAATTGTATGTTTACAATTTTGCCTCCTTTATCAGATAGCAAGTTCCTTGAGGCTAAAGACTATATTTTTTCATCTTTGGGGGTCCTGGGGCTTAGTAAAGGTCTTTGCACAATGTTCATATATTTAATGATTATATTATTAAAGATCTTCAAAGTTTTTATAATGCTGATGTTGGGGGATAAGACTGACAAACCACACCGTTGATTTATCATGTTTTACTAGACTTATGTGAACTAACTTCAGAGGCACCAGTTAATCTGTAACACGTTTGTTTACATGAAAACAAACTGGGTAATAACATTCCTCAACTCTAAGTGAATACCCAAGCAAGGAAATACAAAAAGGCTTGATTTCTGCCAGACAAGTGCTTAAGACAATGATTATCATATGAGGTCTGCCAATTAAGTTCGAGAACTTGCCACCATTCGCATACATTGACAGCACTGTACAAACAGCTCAGTAAGTTTTCATAACCTTGGAATATCAGTGTCTCATAGCTGTGTTCATGTTGACGTGTGGCGGTGTCTTGCTGAGTGGCGTTCATTATTGTTGTTGCATGTTTTTGTGTGCTGTCGCAAGAATGTCTGAGCTTGAATTAGAGTAATGAACAAACATTCAATTTCTTGTTAAACTTGGCAA